TAACTAGAAGAGTTCTGACGTTATACAGTTTTAACGAACAACACAAAACATCTAAGAGAGCTTAGTGTAAGAGACTACTACATTTACGTACAATAGATACAGAAGATAGATTAGACGGATGGAAATTCTGGGGCATTAGCATTTTATTCTAGACTAAGAACTACACTAGAGAACTTTCTTCCTTTGTTGTAGTGATGATGCAGTAAATTTAAAAACCGATCGGAACTACTAGTCGGAATGCTGATTCTCTACCGAAGCCATAGCTGGGTAATTTTTAAATATTTTTTCTGTACCTAATTTAGTGGCAAAATTTGTTATTTAAATATTGTGGAATATTATTATGAAGCATTATTTAATATTCGAGTGTAGTAACCGGATTTCACGATAAGATACTCGAATACTTAAATAATAACAACTGCCACCGAAATTAGATGGAGATAACTAACCTGAAAATTACTCGGCTGTATATTTTTCCTTTTTCACAGATTTGCACATTTGCTCGCACAAGTTTTTGCAACTGAGTATTTTCCCTCCAGACATGCTCCAGACTTATTTTGGTGGCCGTTAATCTCAATTACCTCGGGCCATAAATCGAAATTAAGAATTTTGGCTTTGTCAAGTCCTGTACAATTGTATTTTCTATGCTACTTTCAAATAGGTAGACTATTCAATTCGTCCAGTAACTTCCATTCTCTTTATTTATTAATTACTTAATTAATTATAATAATTTAAATTAATTAATTATAATCTGCTATTCATATTGAAGAAGCCACCAAAATTTCATTCCTTGCTGAGTGGTCATGTACGGGTTACAAATTACTACATGCGATCCACAACAAAAGGTTGAAAGTCCAATGTAAATATATCTAAAAGAAGGACTTATTTGTCTAGTAATTTCGACTTTGGCAATTCTCGTAATATTTACAAAGCATCTTAAAATAAACTATTCGTTACAACCATTGAATTAGAGTATAATTAAATTATAATATAGAAGTCCTAAAAGTATATAGGATAGGATAGGGAACACTATAAAGTTTTATCTCTAGCATTCTAGGTTCATTAATTATATTCCAAAAGGAGTATCTATAGGCAGTATATTGTAGTATAACGTTCTACACTATACTATTCTAAACAATATGTAGGTCTCTGATTGGTTGATGGTTTATCAAATTCGTAAATTTTAAACATTTTATTGCAAATACAGTTTCTGCATTGTAGGACATACAGCTGATGTAACAAATCACTCAAGGCAAGTAAGCATAGGTGGCATTTGGCGCGAGTGTTGCGCATTAGGCACATTCACCAGCACTGTACGCACCCTAACGATGTACATTACGTGACCCATATGCGGCTTGTTAGGAAGAACGGGAAGTTTAAGCAAGAAATTGCTTTAATTTAGACAAAGTTCGTTTTTTAAATTCAAGAAAACATGCTTAGTTCGCTATTTTTGCAAGATCGACGTCGAATATCATTTTATAAATCTCGGCTTTTAAGATGCTGTAGTGTCCTGCTGACAGATTTACTGTAATTGAGCTGTCATAGTCCTCATTACTTTTGAGTTCGATCTGAGATTTTAGAACAAAATATCTCTATGACTGCAGCTCATGCCAGTTTCATTCCCTTTGCCACCAATATTTAAAAAAATCAGAGAGCTACACATTACCATCTAAGTCAAGCTACTTTTGGCAGGGAGTAACAAAGAGTAGGAGATAAAAATGAACTTTTTGGCTTTGAGCAATTCGGGCGTTACCATTCATAAAACATTGTAGTCACAGCGCGCATCTTAACACTAGACTAAAAATTAAGCTTATTATTTTATTATTTACAAATAGGTTTTGGTAATGATAGCGATTGAATTCTTATTTTATCCTTTTAGGTACTGTTATCAATATTTTTGTTTAAATGTGACTTAAATAGCTCTAAACTCGACGCCTTCCTTTATTAGTTTAAAAAAAATTAAAGATACGGTACTTAACGCTTTTTAACTTCTGTTCCTTGTACTTTAATGTAAGAAAATCGATATCATTACGCAATTAAAATTTACAGCACACACACAATTATTTTTATCCTTAAAAATTATAAATACTTACAAACCATTAGTGCAAATACATTCTAACAATAACAATAAAAAGTGCTTTAGAAATTTGCTTTATTATTCAGAAGCCAATCTATTTGGAATTGTACAGAGAATCGTATGGTACATGCACGACAGCGAGTTTGTTCTTTTATACAGACAAGCCTTTGCTGACTTACATTTTAATAATAAGCGTTTTAAGTACTTTAGTTTGCCACTGAGATTTTATCACTTTACTTAAGTACATGACGATTACTTTTGAGTTTTATAAGCAAATTGTGCATTATTGACTTGAAAATCCATTCAAAGATTTACTGATGTTTTTCTACATCACATTCCCGGTTGGATTTGAACAATCGGTACAGGCAGTGGAGATTTACAAAAATATTCACCGACTTTGTGTCTTACATATTACATAACAAGGTTTATAAGGATCGATTCTCCTTTGACATATTTTGTGCTAAAATTAATCTATTGTGAACTTGTAACTTATCGTCTAATTTCGCTTCTTCATCCGAACCTTCTTTGAGAAGCTCCCACAGACGGTTTTTGTCTAATATTTCAAAACCACCTTTGTTTTCTGGTGCTATATCAGACCGTGGTATCTCAGCTAACGTTTTTGACGTTTCAGATACAGGTGTCGGTGGCAATTTATGTATCTCTTTGTTTATAGATTTTATAGTTTTAGCAGCATATTTTTCTGGGTTGATACTTTTCATTTTCGTCTTATTAATTTTAATAACGGTAGTGTGACTGTCGTTCTTGTTGTTCTGTTGTTCTTGGTGCTTGGTTTCAGAATGGTTTGTGTATTCTATGGAAGGTTTTTTGATTTGGGTGGCGGCTTTAGGTTTCTTTGTCCTGTAGTGAATATTTTTTATATTACTATTAGTTATGGCAGCAATTGTATGTGGTGATATGGACGTTTCTGCTAGTGTAATATGTGTATTCTCTATTTTGGACACATTTTGTATTGGCGATTGAGTTACTTTGTCGATTACTTTTAGCGTTTTGTCCTTATTTGGTTTTCCAACAGATTTTATTTCTTCCTCTGCGTTTGCTGATTTTAACTCTTTTACGGATTTAGCAGTTAGTTTTTCGTCTTTAACAACTTTTCCGGGTTTGTCAATTTTGGTTAATTTTATTATCGAATGTGACTTTTCAATAGTTTTTACGATTTCTAAGGGCTTAGTCAGTAAAATTTCTTTAGCCTGAGGTATCATTTTATGTGATTCTGGGTTTTGTTCCGTATGATTAGTCGATTTAGTTTTTAGGAACATGTTCTCCTTTTCTCCATAAGTGGCTTTCAGTGTACCTTTCCTTCGCGGTAGCTGTTTCTTCTTATTTTCTTCCTTTTTTGGCACAAGTTTAGAAACAGGTATCTTTTGTACAATTAATTCACCACTTGATTTCGGCACAATAGGAGATATCTTGTTTTCTATCTTGACATCATTTGATCGATTGATATATGTTGCTGTTGGCACTATAATTGGTTCATCAGTATGTTTTTGTTCAACCTTCGAAGAGTTTCCACTATTTTTAGGAACTGCAGCAGGGATATCTTGTTTAATTTCTTGTTTAGAAGTTATATCTAATCCCAAAATAGTTGTTTCTTCCAAAGCACTTGTAGTGGTAGATAGTTGGTCTATGAAAAGTTTACTGATAGTCTCAGATTGAGCTATATTATCTTTCCCAATAACCGTTTTTATTATTTGGGTAGTTGGCTTGCTTGTTGTTCTATCAGGCTCTGCAGTTGATATATAATTTCCACTAGTGGTAATATCGTTTATTGCATAATTTCTAGTAATATTATCACTTTTTGACGTAGTAGTTTCTGCATTTACTTTCACGGTAGTAGTTGGCTCAGTTGTTGGTTTCGTGGTTACGATATTTCTCTCAGTCTGATCGTCAGGTTTTCTAAATTCATAATCGCGACTACAAATACGTCCACATTCACAAATGTTATCAATGCTGGCTGTAATTTTAAGACTTGCGAGTTCAGTTTTATCAAACCAAGTGATGAAATCATCGTCAGTGATACCTCTCAGGAGTGGGCTTCCAGGTCTTGCGTGGAAGAAGGTTTCTACAGCCAGATCGGGACGAGACGATGGATAAATCTTAGCAAATGCTGGTCGTAGACTAGTGATGACGAATTTAGAACGTGCTTCGTAGGTTACGCAGACTGGACATATAGAACTTATCTGTAATCATTATGGTAATGTTTTAATAACTTTATTACAATAATGTAACAAAAATCTCTTTTTTGTATATACTGCAATTTGCTCACAATTTATTATTATTTATTATTATATATTATTTATTACTGAGATGATACTGATCTATTAAAATAATGTGCGAACATAGTGAGAACTCATTTTAAGCAAGAAAGACTCTTTTTCCGATTAAATTAAGCAAGATAATGTCAAAAATAAAAACGGTTGATACTTACATTAGCAAAGACGAACCACACAGATTCTCCTCTAGATCCATAGTGCAAGTCAGCAAAAGTAGCGCCATCTAGGACGACTGGGTTAACAGAATGCAGTTCATAACCAGAGAACAGTGAAGACTCTAGTCTTAGGATACCGGATCGTTCCTTGCCCTTCCATCTGAAATATAGGTTAAATTTGAACAATTTTAGTTTCGGCATTAAGTATTAATATAAATAAATAACAATATTTTTCTAGATACAACCATGTTTGCATTTGAATACTCTGGATAAAACACAGAATCATTTTTTTATTGGAAATTTCCTAATTTATATTTTCATGTCAGTTGTATAATATTTGTTCTTACTTGAAGCAAGTTTTAATGATAAGAGAAGGTAGGATTCCTTGCAAGTCTTCAATGCTGCTTCGCTCTGGACGAATTTCCTCGATGATAGCCGCTTGAATATTCAGCAGAGCGTTCTCAGGCTTTGGTGTGTACGTTGAATAGGTTATGGTGCCCTGAGTATTAAAAAAGGGATGTGTGATTACGATAATTTATACAGATTTGATGTTAACGCACTTGTCGCTTGTTACACTTAAGACACTCTAGACGTACGACATCTAGAGGTAAGTGTTTAATGCGACTTTACGGAACTTTGACCTGAACTGTTGTGTGAAAGTGTTAAAGAATTGGATGAAATGGGTTCTGCGTGGAAAATCTCCCAGACAGGTGTTCACGTCTCGTCTTTGATCGGGCACCATAAGCAGCCGTCACTGGCGCAGTGTACGGTGCGGGGCGCACGAAAGAGAGGAAGACGCATGGTCGCCAACTGTTTTGCTGACTATACTGCACACATTATTTGTATCCTTAAGTTTTTTTTTCCATTATACGTGCATATTCTAGATTTGGATTTTTATACCTCACCAAAAGACGAAAATCAAGCAATTACCGATTGAGCACGTCAAGAATAAATTCAACTTTATGTCGCTTGCGATAGGAACGGTAAAAATTCCAAAATGGTAAGCTTGATGAAGGAGAACCTTACCTCCTATTTTTACTATAAATGTAAAGCGACACGAGCAATAGTGTATGAGTGCAGGATACATAAAACAGACCATTGCCACTAGTATCTACTTTCCTTCAAGAAGATCGTCAAATACCATTTGAATACCATAAAAAAATATACGCACCTGAACAGTAGCGCAGCCAGCTCCGGTAGCATAAACGAATACTTTAGTAGGCAGCCCTGGCAATTGAAGGGGACGAGGCGGTGTCTTAGCTCTCAGCTCTAGTGTATCCGTCAATTCCATGCCTGCTGTTGCTAGGGATACTGTTAGCGCTCGATGCCTGCAAATGCAGAAAACGTTATTCATATTTCTTTATTACCTTTGGTACCTATATAATTGATGCATTTTTTTTGCTACTTTTAGATGCTTTTCATAGTTTATGAAATCCAGATGTTGTACCATCCTCAACGCTTGGTGACACGCCTCTTAATAGAGTTGATAGGTTTAAATATCTTGGTCACGTTAGTACTGACAGCATGAAAGATGATCTAGATATTGAAAGGGAGCGCAGAGTGAGAGGAAACATGCTGGCCCGTAGATTCACTCGTTGTACAAAAGAGGTGAAAGTTACGCTTTTTAAAGCTTTTTGTCAGTCAATGTATTCGAATAGTCTATGGGTTAGATATACACAGCCTACATACAACTCAATACGAGTATAATACAACAACATCTTCAGGATGCTGTTGGGACTGCCACGGCACTGCAGTGCATGTTTGCTGAAGCGCGAACAGATGACGTTTATGCGTAAAAAAAGTGTTGTCTCTGCTAAAGCGAGTGCGTGACAGTGGCAATGGCATCCTGTGGATGTTTGTCCATCGTTTTGACTGTACAATTTTAAAGTTTTGGGTAAACATTACAATTGGTCAAATTAAGTAATAATTGTGCATTTTCCAAATTTTAATATTTAAATTTTCTATCAATATCTCAAAATTCAATGTAATCATACTAACATAGTTCTAAGGTTTTCTTTTGTAACTAACACCAATATCTTATGGGCTATGGCCTGAAATAAATGGTTTATTATAGTCACAATTATACTAATTCAATCCATTAAACTTCAGCTGTTTTCCCAACAATATCGGGTTTGTAAAATCCGTGTTCCATGTCTGTGTTTCTCGGCATAAGATCGACTCCACAACAATAGTGTTCCGAAACGAAAAACTTATTGGAAACACGTTGAGGAAAGATTCGACTAGAATTATACGTCAGTTTAGTTAATATGAGTAGAATCTCACAGTAGTTTTCTATTTAAAAATAGTGTCTTAGGTTTATGCAACATAAACCTTGCTTTTTTACAACGTGGCCATTGCATTGCTAATTGAACTTCACTACGTTGTCTTTTATAGAATGAATCCTGCATACTAGGGTAGGGTTAGGCTCCATTGAAAATTAATGTTACCGACTTTTGCTTGGCTGTGACATTAGATCCTTTTACGTATGCCACAGTCGCGCATTTTATTTTCACTTTGTCTTTTTATTGATTATTTCAGTGTATTTGTGTGTTGTGGCGTTGTAATAAATAAATGGTTTCTATTCTATTCTAATTGGCTCTTAAAGGACATATCACTCACCTATCATGAGCCAGAGCAGCATACTGTGCGGCGGCTTTAGTAGCGCTATAAGTCAGACTCGGATGTCTTTGCAAAGTTGATGCTCGGTAGTAGAGGAATCTTGCAGCAGCTTCGCCTTCAGCGAGAGCACCGCGTGCGCAAGCCGCTAGTAATACTCGTACGCCGGCTACATATTGCTCCATTGTTACTGCTTCTGCAAAGATAATATTTCGAAGGGAACAGTGAAACAATAATAATAAAACAACTGTATTGACTACTTCAAAATACTCAGTATCTTCTTGTCAATAGAGCTGTGTGTTAAAAATGTTATAGTTTATATGATCGTGCGTACCGTATGACGTAGTCTTAATGTTTCTAGAAGTTTCTTCAAGCAGCCAGTCGGAGGCATCTTTCCGTGGAGCTGGCCAACCAAACTCACCCTCTTCTGTAGTTGATGCGTTTCTTAAAATTGTCAGTGCTTCAGGAACTATGGGACTCCTGAAAATTACATAAGAATCAATTCTGCATATATCATTTATACATGCATTCAAGGGCATCTGACAAAAGGGTGTGCAAGTGCATGTAATTGCCCTAAAAAGACCTGTAAGTGCACGTGACAGCTACTTAACTTGAGCGACTGAAATGACAATTAAAATTAAACACAAAGCGTCACAGTGAACCTGTATAAACAATTGGAACATGTATGTGGCTTACCTGGCCATAACGAGTGCCAACACCGTAGCCGCCAATGCAGCAGGTGATGTCAAGTTATGTATATTGCTTTCCAGATATGTTTGTGCTCTGGTAGCGACTTCAGCATCCATCTGAAATCAGAAATGAATAGAAAAGCTAAATCTAGGAATCAAAAAAATTTGTTCAGTAACAAGTTGAATTCAACAGCCTAATTTAAAAAAAATGTGTAATCGAGGCTTCATACTATAATGATTTTCGTGACAAAACTAGCTCGACAAAGGTATCTTTGTTATTATCAAAAATATATACCTTATTTTCCACACCAACTTCAAGTAGCGCAACTAGGGTTTCTGCAGTTACTTCAACCTTTCTCTCCCATTCTATTTCTTCTTCCGTCATATTGCCATCTTTGTCATAATAGTAATACTCATTAACATCAACTTCTTTGTCTGTTCCGTTCATTATAGGTATTTCTACTGGGTAATAGTCGACTTCTTTATCAGCAGCTAATGGCGTAAAAGATCCATCGTCGTTCTGTCTGTTTTGTATCCATTTTTTGATAGACAATAACAGCTCTGGATCAATTGGATAGTAAGACTGTATTTTAGTGAGAATTTCCAGTATTTTAATAGTAGATAAGTGGCTGCTCATGCCTGGATGATCGCTGAAGGAATTATCGAATTTACGGAATGATAGAAGTATTTGAACCTGGAAAAATTTTTGGTTAATGTTAAGATTTCTTATTGTAAGAGTCAACCTATACATTTTAACGTTCCTTAAATATTTAATTTAGTGATGAAAGTTAATGAACTCTCTATAAATAAAAATGCAAGCATAAAATTGAGCACTGGACTGCATTATCTTATTAATTAAAATAAAAGATGCCAGCATTGAGTACAGCGAAATTGAAAGATGAGTAAAAATATGTTGCCAATACAATAAAATCTAAGTATTGCCAATAACAATTTGACAATTTCTCAGTATGTTTAAGAATTAATTAAACAAACTCTGTTAAAGATGTTTAAGTAGATATTCGTTTTCAATTCTCAGTTTTTTTAAAGCTAACAAGCTGGTGTGTATTTACCTGTTCCGGCAATTTCTTCAAAATCCGCTCCCTTTCTCCTTCATCAACTAAATGAGGAATGAATTCCAAAGCCAATAGAGGTGCAAGACTTGCAGAAGCGGCAGAAAGTTGCGAGTCTCGCCAAACTTCAGCCCATTGGTCTGTAGAATCTAATTGTTGGTTATAAAGCGGAAGATGCAGACCTCCTGAGACAAGGAGGGTGCCACTTGCAGAGCCTGGGACAACACCATGTGGCAATCCAAGTTCTAAGACTTGCGAGAATCCTGCTTCTTCGTTGAAGTTCCAAATCCTGAAAAACGCATAGATCATTACTGGATTTAAGTACGGTATTTATGTACAGTGCAACTATTTTCTTAATATGTCTCTGCAATTTTCGTGCTTTGGCTGTCATCGGATTTCCATCAGTTGCCTTTTTTATTTATGGTACAATTACTGCACGTAGCAATAAAAAAAAAACTTTAACCTGTGTAGTTTTTTTTAATGTACAAAAAGAAAACTTTCAAAATTACCTGAAATCAGCTTTATCACCCCATAGCGCACTGAATCCGACATACTTGATACGCATATCGTTCGCCAACGGCCACACCAAGAGTCTCCGTTCAGATGGAGCTGCTCCTCGTCCTACAGAGAGTCTGCCACCTTCCCACCAGACCCACCATGCGCACCACGAATCCGCACCCTCGCATTCGTCATCTGTTTGCTCTGCACTTGCTAGATGGACGTCGTAACCTGGAATTATGACTTCAATGTTAAGTACACACACCGACACATACGTATTATAAAACGGAACAAAAAAAATGAGGATATAAACTTTATATCCTCATTTTTTTGTTCCTAGACTATTTTATATTATAAAGTAGTCTTAACGTTTATATTGAAAAAATAAAGTAGCAATTGAATTAACATCTTTTAACACCGATTTACACTCAAAAAACTCGAAATGAAACAGAATGCATTTCTTTTTCTGATTTTGTGGCAAAGGAGGTATAGTTGAGAAGTATGATTATTCAACGGTCACAATTTTACCATCATACTATAAAAAAAAAAAAATTCGACTGAAGTTTACCAAATTTACAAGAAAGCAAAATCAACCTCAATCGAACCACCCGTCAAGTAAAGATAAGAAATAGACGAGAAAGCGTAAAAATGCTAAATGAGAAAATCGCAATAATGTAATACGGGTATGAAGAAATGGCTCTGATGGTGCTTATTCATTTTAGAATTAAAACAAGAGGTTTTGTCCAAGTTTTTATTGAATGTCACAATGTTTTACTACCACGATATTCAATTATTTTTTCTGACATTGCTCCTGCAGTTTATTATAATTATTAATAACAAAGGTTACACTTAGACACAAATTCCTTCGATCCGACCGGATTCCCACCGGCGTCTTGTAGCAAACCGGGCCAGACGCTATGCTAACTACTTAGAGCCATTTTTTAATACCCGTGTTACATTGTTG